GCTACAACACCCAATTAATTTTTAAATTTTTTTGTAGAGACAGAGTCTTACTATGTTGCCCAGGCTAGTCTTGAACTCCTGGGCTCAAGTGATCCTCCTGCCTTGGCCTCCTAAAGTGCTGGGATTACAGGCGTGAGCCGCTGCACCCAGCTCGGATTTTTTTTTTTTGAGACGAAGTCTCCCTCTTGTCCCCAGGCTAGAGTGCAGTGGCGCAATCTTGGCTCACTGCAACCTCTGCCTCCCAGGTTCAACCGATTCTCCAGCCTCAGCCTCCCGAGTAATCCCGAGCTGGGATTACAGGTGCCTGCCACCATACCCAGCTAATATTTGTATTTTTAGTAGAGATAGGATTTCACCATGTTGGCCAGGCTGGTCTCTAACTCCTGACCTCAGGTGATCCACCTGCCTTGGGCTCCCAAAGTGCTGGGATTAGAGGCATGAGCCACTGTGACCGGCCTGGGATGTTCTGAAATCGCTAGCAGTGCACACTTGAAAAAGGAAGAAAAGCAAACTGGGAACATAGCACTTAGGGAGCTGAGAAAGCAGCCAGCTCAGGCCTGACAGGTAGGTGTGAAATCTTGCACAGAGTTCTCCCTGAGAGGAAGTCACAGTTCTGACTATGTCATCTGCTACAATATGATCTGGAGAAAGTCATTGAGTCTTCTTGGGTCTCATCTGCAAAGTTGTTAGAATGCTCCATTTTTTTTCCCTCTGTGAAGCCTTCAATAACTTTTCAAGAAACTATGGTATTGTTAAGAGTTTAGAGTTGGAGGCTGGGTGCAGTGGCTCATGCCTGTAATCCCAGCACTTTGGGAGGCCGAGGTGGGTGGATCACTGGAGGCCAGGAGACGAAGGCCAGCCTGGCCAACATGGCAAAACTCCATCTCTAATAAAAATATAAAAATTAAGGCTGGGAATGGTGGCTCACCCCTGTAATCCCAGCACTTTGGGAGCCTGAGGTGGGCAGATCATCTGAGGTCAGGAATTTGAGACCAGCCTGGCTAACATGTTGAAACCCTGTTTCTACTAAAAATACAAAAAATTATCTGGGTGTGGTGGCAAATGCCTGTAATCCCAGCTATTTGGGAGGCTAAGGCACAAGAATCACTTGAACCTGCGCTGGAGGCTGCAGTGAGCTGAGATTGCACCACTGCACTCCAGACTGGCCAACACAATGAGACAAAAAATTAGCTAGGTGTGGTGGCACATGCCTGTAATCCTAGCTACTTGGGAGACCAAGGCACAAGAATTGCTTGAACTTGGGAAGTAAAAGTTCCTCCCAAGTTCAGTAAGCAGAGATAGCGGCACTGCACTCCAGCCTGGGTGACAGAGCAAGACTCTGGCCCGAAAAATAAATTAACAAAGAGTTTAGACTTGGAGCTAGACTCCCTGAGTTCAACTTCTAGTTCCATCACTTACTAGCTGTGTGACTCTGGGCAACTTATTCAACCTCTCTGAACCTAAATTTTCACATTTGTAATATAGGCATAATTACAGTACATAGCTCATAGAGTTGTCATAAAATTGTTAATTACTTAAAACATGGTTGGGCCTTTACAGCAGCCCCTGGCATAAAGTGATCTTTTTTTTTTTTTTTTGAGACCTTCTCTCTGTCGTCCAGGCTGGAATGCAGTGGCACAATCTCGGTTCACTGCAACCCCCACCTCTTGGGCTCAAGAGATACTCTCAACTCACCCTTCCAAGTAGTTGGAACTGCAGGTATATGCCACCACGCCTGGCTAATTTTTGTATATTTTTTTTTGGTAGAAATGGGGTTTTGCCATGTTGCCCAGGCTGGTATCGAACTCCTTGGCTCAAGTGATCTGCCTGCCTCAGCCTCCCAAAGTGCTGGGATAACTAACAGGAATGAGCCACTGTGCCTGGCCTAGTGAACAGTGTATAAATTTTAGCTATTATTAGCCAGGCACGGTGGCTCATGCCTGTAATCCCAGCACTTGGGGAGGCCAAGGCAGGTAGATCACAAGGTCAGGGGTTCAAGACCAGCCTGGGCAAGATAGTTAAACCCTGCCTCTACTAAAAACTATAAAAATTAGCTGGGTGCAGAGGCAGGCGCCTGTCATCCCAGCTACTCGGGAGGCTGAGGCAGGAGAATTGGTTGAACCTAGGTGGCAGAAGTTGCAGTGAGCCGAGATTGTGCCGCTGCACTCAAGCCTGGGCGACAGAGTGAGATTTCGTCTCAAAAAAAAAAAATAGCTGTTATTAATCACTTCCTCTTCTATGCTTCCACAGACAGCACTGTGTATGGCTTGCTCACAGCATTTACCACACTGCTTTAGAGAAAGACACTCTAGGCTGGGCGTGATGGCTCACGCCTGTAATCCTAGCACTTTGGGAGGCTGAGTTGGGGGGATTCACCTGAGATCTGGAGTTCGAGACCAGCCTGGCCAACACAGTGAAACCCTGTCTCTACTAACAATACAAAAAATGAGCCCAGTGTGGTGGCAATGCCTATAATCCCAGCTACTTGAGAGGCTGAGGCAGAACAATTGCTTGAATCTGGGAAGCGGAGTTTTCAGTGAGCTGAGATCGTACCACTGCACTCCAGCCTGGATGACAGAGTGAGACTCCGTCTCGGGAAAAAAAAAAGGAGAGAGAGAGAGAAAGACACCCCAGTGAAGTGAAAAGAGCAAAGGCTTTAGATTCCCATCTGCTTAAAGTCTCAGCTCTTCCACTTATCAGCTGAGATCTGAACCCCAGACAGGAATCCAAATTATACAGCCTCTCTAAATATCTTAGTTCTATCATTCATAAAGTAGAGACAATACTTATTTATGTGGTTGGAATGGAAGAGTGAAAAAAGAAACTGTGTGAAAGTATCTAGCAGTATGTATGTATGTAGTAAGTCTTACGAGATGAAGTGGCCCATCTCTGTAAAGGGAACTGGAATACAGAGTGGTGTGGTGAGATTTTTGTCAACTTGAGGGAGGGAGCTTTACCTTTCTGTCTGGGGATTCTCTTGCTCGCTTTGGACCTTGGTGGTTTCTTCCATTGACCACATCTCCTCTGACTTCAAAATCATGCTGAAGGAAACCAAACACAAACCATCAGGATCAGAGAAAGAGAAGCTTCCTTCAATGGAAGTGGAGCAGACACGTCATGTTTAAGGCATTCAGGCCGGGCGCAGTGGCTCACGCCTGTAATACCAGCACTTTGGGAGGCCAAGGTGGTTGGATCATTTGAGGTCAGGTGTTTGGGACCAGCCTAGCCAACATGGTGAAACTCCGCTTAACTAAAAAAAACCAAAAAACAAAAAAACACAAGGCTGGGTGCAGCGGCTCACGCCTGTAATCCTAGCACTTTGGGAGGCTGAGGCGGGCGGATTAGTTGAGGTCAGGAGTTCGAAACCAGTCTGACCAACATGGTGCAACCTTCTATCTACTACAAATACAAAAAATTAGTTGGGTGTGGTGGCAGGCGCCTGTAATCCCAGCTACTTGGGAGGCTGAGGCAGGAGAATCTTTTGAACCCAGGAGGTGGAGGTTGCAGTGAGTCGAGATGGTGCCACTGCACTCCAGCCTGGGTGACAGAGCAAGACTCCATCTCAAAAAATTAAAAATAAAGTTAAAAAAAAAATACAAAAATTAGCTGGGCGTGGTGGCGTGTGCCTGTAGTCCCAGTTACTTCCTAGCTACTTGGGAGGCTGAGGCGTGAGAATTGCTTGAAACCGGGAGGCGGAAGTTGCAGTGAGCCAAGATCATGCCACTGCACTCCAGCTGGGGTGACAGAGTGAAACTCTGTCTCAAGAAAAAAAAAAAAA